TTTGAATTAGCTCCCTAGAGTAGACCAGGGCTAGTAGTCTTCTACAGCCAGTATGTGTCAAGCGTCAGGGGAAAAATGAGGCCTATTTATTTGTTTAGCATTTGATTGACAACTTTAGTTTTTGTCTTGCATGGTTTATTTATGTCCATGAGTGTTGCAATAGCTGGTCTCTACGTTCATCGTGGTGACAGTCATGATAGCTCGTGGGCTTCCAGCTGCCCAGCTTCAAGTACAGATATACTCTATGGCTACGTCTACACTGCAGGCTTCTTGTGCAAGAAGCTTTTTGCGGAAGAGCTCTTCCAAAAAAACTTCTTGCGTAAGAGCATATCCACACTACAAAAGCGCATTGCAAAAGTGATGTGCTTTTGCACTAGAGAGCATCCAGACTGCATGGATGCTCTCTTGAAAGAAAGCTCTGATAGCTATTCACAGAATACGTGCTTGAGATGTGGATGATCCGCAGGTTTTTGCGCAAAAAAAGGCAATTTTTGCACAAAAAACCTGCAGTGTGGACATAGCGTATGAGTGCCAAGTAGTCCTGTGGCACCTTAGAGGCTAAGCAAAATATACAGGATCATGAGTGTTTCGTGGGGCAAAACTCACTTGTTTTGCCCACCAAAGCTTATGATTCTATATATTTTGATTAGTCTCTGAGGTGCTAAAGGACTACTTGTTTTTTTAAAGTTACAGATTAATGTGGCTACCCCTCTGAGACAAGTCATCCTTGTTCTACATGTGCAGAAAAGTATAACTAGGTTCAAAAAAAGAATTAGATTCACGGAGGATGGGTCCATCAATGGCTACCCACCAAGATAGTCAGAGACAGAACCCAATGCTTGGGCTGTCCCTATACTTTTGATTACCAATAGCTGGGACTGGATAAGAGGTGATGGATCACTTGATAATTGCCCTGTTCTGTTCATTCCCTCTAAAACACCTGGCACTGGCCAATGTCAGAAGATGGGATACAGGGCTAGCTGCACCATTGCTCTGGCTCAGTGTAGCTATTTTCATGTTCTTGTCAGGGGTTAAAGTAACTTACATTTCTTATAGGTACTGTTGTATTCCCTCCCCCTCTCTCAGGGGTCACTCTGAGAAGGGGTTTGGGGACTGCAATATGACAGTACCTTTAAAGAATTTCAGGGCAGGGTGCAATGCAGGGGGTCTAGGCAGGGTGTTGCGAAGTAGGGGACATAGGGAGGGTTCAGGGCAGGGGCTGGGGATGTGTAGAGGGTGCAGGAATCTGGGCTGGGGGGGGTGAGGAGGGGCTTAGGACAGAGGGTTGTGGTGTGTGTGGTGGGCTGAAGGAATCAGGGCAGGGGGGCTGAAGGTATGAGGGTGTTCAGGGAAGGGGTCTGATATCTGTAGAAGGGAGTATGGGGGCAAGGGCATCCTTTAGGGAGGGCAAAGGGTGGGGGCTGAAGCGCTGCTTGCTGTGCCCCTGTCAGGGGACAAGAGGAAAGCGCACTGCATGGGTCACAGATTCCTCTGCCCCCTCCCCACACCAGCCAGGAGGGAGAGGAAGGCAGGCGAGCTGTGGCAGTGATGGAAGAGGAACAGCAAGCAACAAGCAGTGTAGGAATGGGTGCCCTCTGGGAGCTCGGACAGTCCTTGGCCTGATGTGGGATTCCCCAGCCAGCCCATTGCACCTGCCTGCTGCTTAGTGCAGCAGCCTGCAAAAGAGCCCCAGGCACCTGGCTAGGAGAACGCCCACCTCCTTCTGGAGCCAAGTGCCCCAACCAGCTCTTACCAAAGCGGAGCACCAGAGAGCACTGCCTTTCCTTCACCTCGGCTACGTCTACACTGGCCCCTTTTCCGGAAGGGGCATGTAAATTTCACTAGTCGTCGTAGGGAAATTCGCGGGGGATTTAAATATCCCCCGCGGCATTTAAATAAAAATGTCCGCCGCTTTTTTCCGGCTTTTAAAAAAGCCGGAAAAGAGCGTCTAGACTGGCCCCGATCCTCCGGAAAAAGTGCCCTTTTCCGGAGGCTCTTATTCTTCCCTTTTTCCGGAAGGGGCATGTAAATTTCACTCGTCGTCGTAGGGAAATCCGCGGGGGATTTAAATATCCCCCGCGGCATTTAAATAAAAATGTCCGCCGCTTTTTTCCGGCTTTTAAAAAAGCCGGAAAAGAGCGTCTAGACTGGCCCCGATCCTCCGGAAAAGGGCACTTTTTCCGGAGGATCGGGGCCAGTGTAGACGCTCTTTTCCGGCTTTTTTAAAAGCCGGAAAAAAGCGGCGGACATTTTTATTTAAATGCCGCGGGGGATATTTAAATCCCCCGCGGATTTCCCTACGACGACTGCTGAAATTTACATGCCCCTTCCGGAAAAGGGGCCAGTGTAGACGTAGCCCTCTTGTTCTTGTATAACCTTGCCAGAGGAGAAGAAGCTAGATGTCAGGAGAAGGCAATGCACACGACACAAAAACTCCTTCTTCATGCTTAGGTGTTTGCACGACCCCTTTAGTCTGATTTGTTAGGAACATTAGAAGATTGCTGTTTGTCCCGTTTCAGTTGGTCTTTGACTTCTTGGTGTGGAATGTCTGTCTAGCAAATCACTTCAATCCACCTCCTCTTTAGAGGGACAAGTCCACTCTCCAGGAAATCCAAGCTGGGAACGCATCTGTCACTTAGCACAGAAACTCAGTGCTAATGGCACACAGAAACTTGGTAATACAGGATGCACTCTATCAGTTACACTGATCACCTGATGGTCCAAGACCTACTCTACATTACCGTCATCTTCAGCTCTTGGGTTACAAGTTTAAGCCCAGTTCCTAAGGTTATTTTTCCAAACATAAACCTGCCAAATATTTGCAACGTGGATAGCATTTCTGATGTGGTGACTGGCTTCCATTTATTTATAAAATATAGAAGTAGGTTCAGGCTGATTCAAGGAGCTAAACTGGAATTTAAGTGGCTTGAAGAAGCCAAGCTGGGATAGAAGCAAATGCTACATTTACTATTAAATTTATCAGGGCAAGCCACACAAGTAAAGAATCTCCTCTGAAACAGCTCATGAAGGTCAAACATTATAAAGATCTTCTTTGCATTCCCTTTTATTCTGCAACTTGTTGATGCCTATGCAAATATATTGTTTGCAGAAGTGCCTCTCCATTCAGATTGTGCAAATACAATTAATAATGTGAAATGCAGGAGAAATTGTGGCAAGACGCTTAAGCCTGATAAACTCCAGTCATCTGGCAAAACACTGTCTCTTCTCTGAGCTTGCAAACTGCAAGGTGAGTGCAAGACAAATGATCACTAAAACCTACAACAAGGGACAGTGTTTCACATCACTGCCATTTTTCTTTGCCAGGTTAGTAAGTGATTGGTTTTGCATTTAGAAAGTGTATTTACAAGGAAGAGAGGGTATGTCTACACTACCCCGCTAGTTCGAACTAGCGGGGTAGTGTAGACATACCCGAAGTGAGAAAGGCAACAACAGCTGTGCTTACAAAACCATAATTAATAGTCTGTGATAGTTTCTATCGTAAACCCCTATTCTCAAGGGCTATGTCTACACTGGCATGATTTTCCAGAAATGCTTTTAACGGAAAAGTTTTCCGTTAAAAGCATTTTCGGAAAAGAGCATCTAGATTGCCACGGACGCTTTTCCGCAAAAGCACTTTTTGCGGAAAAGCGTCCGTGCCAATCTAGACGAACTTTTGTGCAAAAAAGCCCCGATCGCCATTTTAGCCATCGGGACTTTTTTGTGCAAAACAGTACTGTGCTATCTACACTGGCCCTCTTGCGCAAATAATTTGCACAAGAGGATTTTTGCCCGAATGGGAGCAGCATAGTATTTCCGCAAGAACACTGACAATCTTACATGAGATCGTCAGTGTTCTTGCAGAAATTCAAGCGGCCAGTGTAGACAGCTGGCAAGTTTTTCCGCAAAAGCAGATGATTTTGCGGAAAAACTTGCCAGTCTAGACACACCCAAGGTGCTTGTAAATGAAACGTTCCAAACTGATGTTGGACACAGAGAATCCCACCCCAGAGATGAATAGGTATTTTTCATAATAGAAAACAAAACCAAAATCCTTTCAACCCAGGTCAGGTTTATGGGGACTGACTGTAGTCCATTGGGTGAACCTACGCATTTACATACACTACATACAATTATCTTTTGGCCCAGATTCTCACCAGTATTTAGGCATCTAATTCCTAAATCAGGTGCCTAAATACCTTTGCAAATCTGGGCCTTTGGGGTGTGCCTACTTGCCTATTCCCATCCCTTCAAGAAGTTTCATGTAAGATTTAGAAGTTCACTTCTTTCCAGAAACAAAAAAAGTCACGATTAATTGTATGATGGAAAACCCAGGCTGATTGTCATGTATTAACACTGATCATTGTCCTTTGTTTTTCAAGGATCTGAGACGTCTGAGCTATTTCAGATACCACAGGTCAAAATCAGTAGGTTTACGAAAATCTATGGAGTGGCAGCCCTTACAATAGGTCTCAATTTATCCTCGTGTGCAGCAATACTCAGGTGTCACAAGAATTAAGACATTACTGTTAGTACAAGTTTTCACTTGCTTTTGTGGGTTCAAGTTAGATCCTTAATGTTACTTTGAAAGTAATCTTCTGAGGCTGGTTTGTTTTTGTGGTGGAATTTTTACAGCTGTACCACGTCAGATTAAGATTTCAGAAGCTAGAACAGTTGGGTCTTGTTTGTTCTTGGATAGGACACCCTAAGGACTGACCAGGATTAATGTTTCACAAAGAGTTGGCCATTAAAAAATGACTATGGCCTAGACCTGATTCAGCATGCTGGCTTGCTGTTATCTCACACTGAGGTCAGCACCAGTGTACCTTCTCTAACAGCAGGCCACCAATTACACAGTCAGGATAATGGCCAGGCCTCCAAGCTAGGTCTATTCATTTCCCCTTATCTAAAATTCCCCATGGAGTTTCAAGAGAAGAGGCTATTTTCCTTTATCATTCTGTCCTTTCAATAAAGTGCTATAAAATAATAATGTATGTTCTTACTCCCAAAACTCTGTGACAGGAGAAGTGAAGTTTGTAACGTTCAGTGACATCCAGAGTGTTTTGTTCTTCCTGAGAGTGTCTTCCACGCAAGTAGGTGTGTTCCACTTCTGATCACAAAGTGACCAAGGTAGGATGCTCTGAAATGACTGGAACAGATAGTACACTCCCCAAGCCAGGATGACAATGTAGTACACGTTCAGAAGGGACACAATCACTATGGAAGCATAACCAATTCCTAAAAATAAATAAAAAAGACACATACATCATGGTCACTTATTGTTCAAACACAATGAAATCTCAGGCCTTTGCAGCTATTTTTAATACTCTATGGCCGTGGTCCCCAACCCGGTGCCCGCGCGCGCCATGGCGCCCGCTGGGCCCTTTACATGCACCCGTGGAGCAATCTGGGCTGGCCCCGCCCCCAGGCGTGCGGCAGGTGCCAGCCCCGGGTGCATGGGCAGCCCCTGCCCCGGGGTCATGGCGCATGCCGGTGCCGGCCCTGGCCCCGGGTGTGCGGCGCATTCCAGTGCCGGCCCCGGGTGCGTGGCACATGCCAGTGCTGGTCCCGGGTGCGCGG